GTAGAGGCTGGCGGAGAAAGAGGTGGGTGGAGTCTGGGAAGCAGATGCGACAATCAGATCACTGTGACGAGAATCCCTTTGTCCCTCCTGAAACAGCATATCATGCCTCGTTTTAGATGCAGACGAAGAAAATATGGCCATCAGAGATCAAGAGACAGGTGCATAGAGATGGAAGTGGGATGAGACAGTTGGGGAGACGATACATTCATTCAATTACATTCATTTATTCATTCATTCATTCATTCATTCATTCATTCATTCAGCAAACATTCACTGAGATGGGGAGAGACAGGTACAAAGGACCAGAGGGATTAAACTGAGACACTGAGGGGCCAAGATCTGGCAGAAAGCTGGGAGACAGGTGCAGGTGGCAAAGTAGCAGGGACAGAGGACCAGCTAGCTAAGGGTCGGGCTAGCCTTGTGGGGACAAAGCTGAGAGAGACGGAGAGGCAGAGACCTGACCCTCCAGTCCCCGAGATGGATGTTCCAACTGGTGAGGACCAAATCTGGACTCAAGATGGGACAACTTAGTACCCGGAGGGATTGAAACAGTCGAATACATTTAAAGCCATAAATTCATAATTATACTACTAATTTTAAAAAGCTAATTGGTCACAGTTCAGAGGATGCTAGAGAAGCAACCCATTATTTGAAAATTGGTAAATACAGGAATAGAGTCAAGCATTTTTCCTGTCTTTCCTATATGAGCTGCATATCACTCAATAACCAAATAGTACGTGAAGGGTAGTTTTTCTGTCTAGAATTATTCCAGCTAATAAAGGAAAGTGATTGAATTTGAATATCACAGTTTTGTAAAAATAAATAAAAACGAGCAGATGGAGGAGGTACTGAGAACAATGGCTGCTGTGCCTTTGGGTGGAAGAAACAACATTAGCACCTATGAAGTGGTCTTGCCAAAGAAAATGGAACTACACCTGATCAAGACTCTTGGCCCAATTACATTTTATGAGAAATAAAAATGTACAGGAAATGAAACTTACAAGAAGTACAGAGGTCAGAGGAATGTGTGAGAGAACACGGTAGAGATGCAATCAGCAAAACCCAGACTGTGGAAAATTACACAACAAATAACCTGGTTCCCTCAAGGAAAAAGAGAGAGAGAGTTGGAAGGGGAACCTATAGATTTAAAGAGATTTAAAAGAGGCCTGTCAATCAGTTGCATTGTGTGTGCCTTGTTTGAACCGCAATTCAAACAAATATATTGTAAAAACAAAACAAAAACAAAAACAAACAAGAAGACATTTATAAGAAATTGGAAATTGGAACTCTATAGATCGGATATTAAGGAATTATTAACTTTACAGTCTAATCATGTGATTAGGTATAATAATTGTGATTATGTTTAAAAAATTATTCTCTCCCAAAGATACATACTGATATATTGATACAGGCAATTAAATAGGGGAAACTGGGAGGGGAATAGATGAAACCAGACTGGCCATGAATTGATGATGACTGAAGCTGGGTGATGGACAGATGGGGCTCATTATATGATCCTGTGTATTTGTTTTATTCAAAAATGCCTAAAATATGTTTAAAGAGGCTGTGACCCTTCTCCCTACCTACAGGCCCCAAGGAATAGAAGGCGCTGAGTGTTATAAAGCAGATTGCAATCCAAACAGCTCTGGGGTGGGGAGGTCCCCTGCTGGGCCAGAGACTTTCGGGGGACTTCCAGCTGGTCCCTGGCACAGTCCCTGGTTTGGGGAGGGGAAGAAGGATCAGTAAGGGAGGCTGGCTTCTTTGGGCCTGATGGCACTGGGTTCCGGCAGTGCCACCTTAAGACAGCTGAGAGTATGAGAGGGTGGCTCCAAAAATAACAGAGGAGGGAGGGGGGCGTCACATGGTGCTGCTGAGGGGTTGAGGCCTGGGCAGCTGGCCAGGCTCTGGCACCTCTTCCTGCTCCCCCAGAGCCCTCTCACTCTCTCTTTGCCTGCAGAACCTTTTTTCCCTCTTGCCCTCCATCTCTGAGAAGGCAGAGAGGTGCCAAGGTGACTCTGGGACAAATGCCACCCTGCCTGAGAGCCTGAGTGGACGCTGACTCTAGAATTTGCTGGCTCTCTTGGGATAGATAGGTGGGACAGTCAGGAGGGAAGAGAGAGGAAAGGACAAGGGCTAAGCCACCTCCTCACACACACCCTAATCTACAGGCCAACACCTGCCCCTGCAGGCCCTACCCAGTGCAGGTCCCAGATATCCTTGCCTGGGGCATTTTCCAGGGTGAGGCGACAACGCCCTTTGTCTGAGGCCAGGAGGGATGCTCACACAGGCACCAAGAATTCTGAAACCCTGGCACCCTTGAGCCCCTGCCTCCTTCTCAGGGCATTTGGGGAGCATACACCTCTGCCTGCTCTGAGTGGGAAGCCCCCAGGAGGAAGGGTACCCCATTCATACCTGCACTAGGTGCTTTGGCACAGAAGGAAGGGGTAGGGTGCCATGGATTGAGTCAGAACTGGGCTGAGTGCTTTACATGTACTCAGCTGCTCAGTAGAGTGGCCTTGGGGAAGCTATACATGCCTTGTGCCTCAGTTTTCTCATCTGTAAACGGGGACAACAATAATACTCACCTCATGGAACTGCTGTGAAAGGGAATGAGTTACTCTACCTAAATCTGTGTCAAACCTTCAGCATGTAGCAGGCCGGGTTTAGTTGTCATTACCCACCAGCGGGCAAACCCCACAGGCCAGGAGTCTGCTCACTTCTGCATCCTCAGCGCCTGCTACACGGCAGGTGCTTCTTTAACATGTGCCGAACTCATGATGCTGTGGTTGCTTCACAAGGGCACCAAGAGGCGAGCACTGTTCTTGCCAGTTTGCAGTTGTGGAAACAAAGCCCAGAGGGCAGCTGACTCTTCCACGGCGACATCTGCCATAATGGTCAAGGTGGATCCATGTCTAGGCCTATAGGCCTCTAAGTCTGTGTCCCTCTCCCCTGTCTCCTCCTGGTTGGTCCTGTCCAGGCCTCTCTCTCTCTTCAGATCTGGGGTACACGCTGGAGATGCTTAGTCTAAGGATGAGAGCTGGGTGAGCCGGCACCCTCGTGTGCTCTTGAGGAAGCTGTCACCTAGCCTCCGATACCTACTAGCTGCCAGGACCTGGACCAGGCCCAGGGGTCCAAAGATATGATCCTAGTTCACCCCAAAAGCTGTGTGGTTGGGCTGTCACCGAGGCTAAGGGCCCTCCAGCTGGCCTAGGGAAGGACAGAGGTTTAGGGAGAAGAGGAAGCCTGTGCTGAGTCTGGAAAGGTGAGTGGAAGTTGGCCTGATGGCCGAGGGCAGGGAACTCTGGGCAGAGGGCACAGCTTGGGCAGACTTAGGAGAGCATGTCAGGGTGGAGGGCAGAATGAGGCTGGGCAGAGCCCGGGGTGTGTGTGTGTGTGTGCGTGTGTGGGTGTGTGTGTGGTGGAGGCAGAGGAGGGAATTCTAGGCAGGGTGGTCAGGTACGGGAAAGGCCTGCAGGCCGCCCGCAGCTGGGGAACTCAGGGCAGTGGGAGCCAGTATGGTTTTCCAGGGGCACCGTGGTTGTCAGACTGGCGGTGGAAAACATACTCTGGCCACTGGGAGGGGGTGATTGAAGGAAACTCGCCATGTGAGGAGGGTGTCCACCCTGACCCAGTGCCTGCTCTGGGTGGGGAGGGGGAGGGCTCCGCTGGCTGAATCAGGGCCCAGCTGCTGCGAGACACCTCCCTGTCCCTCCCCCCCCCCTCCTGTCTCTGTCACTCACTGGCAGCCAGGCTGGGGCGGCCATGGCAGCAGCGCTGATCTGGATTCCTCTCCTTGCGGGCAAGTTGGGGCCTTCTTCAGGGAGAGGCCCGGGAGGAGGGGCTGGGATTTAGCCGTGATGACACAGAAGCAGAGGAATCTCCTCCGGGAGGGTTCTTGGGGTGAGGCGGGGTCAGGAGGACTTTGGGGTGTCAATGCTGTTGCTGGTGGGGGAATCCAGGGAACTGGGGCTGCGAGCGGGGCCCTGGGATGTGGGCCCTGGTAGCTCTGAGAGGTGGTGTCCTAGGCCGGGATGGGCCTGAGAGTTGTGGGCCTTTTAATGGGCTGACTGGCTGGCTTCACTCTAGGCCCGGGCTAAATCTGGCCCTAGGAGAGTGTGGGGCCTGCTGGATCCCTTTTGCTCAGCTCTTGTTAGCCTCTAGCGGGGCCCCGTTCCCCTGTACATTAGGGGAGGTGGGTGAGGGTCCCAGAATGGCTACCTTCCTCCTCCAAAGGTTCCTTCCCTCTCCTCCACCCCTCCAAGCACCTAGACATTCAGCATGGGGTTCTTTTCTAAGTGCCCTCACCATACACACACACACACACACACACACCCCCCACCCCTCCCACCAAACATTAGTCTTTGCCCACTGTGAGCCCCACCAGGGGCCCCAACTGAGGAGCAGGGAGCTCCATGAATTCAAACCGACCTAAGCTCTGGGTCTCGTCACTGATTAAAGTGTGTGGCACCACCAGGGCCCTGCTCTATCCTTTCCTGGGAGCTAGCAAAGGAGCTCTCTCCTCTCACACACTTTTCCTGGTCCCTTTGGGGCACCAGGGACATGGTGGGGAAAGGGAGCATATCCTATGTCCTGGACTGAGGCTGAGACCAGTTTGGGGGCTGTGGGGTCCCCACAGGTCTCCTGGCAGGGCTGGGGGGCACTGAGACCCAGCAGACCACCCTACACCCGGCCGTGGGCCGTTTGTTCGTGCATACCCTGGACCGTGAAACCTTCCTGCGCCTTCCTGAGCACGTGGGTGAGAGGGGCCTCATGGGCACTAGGGTGGGTTGGGGATGCCTGGCCCAAGGCTGGTGAAGGCTCCTGTCATGTCTCCAATCCCCTCTCTTCCCTTCCACCAGCTGTCCCACCCACTGTCCCTGTCACCTACCACGCCCACCTCCAGGGACACCCAGACCTGCCTCGGTGGCTCCGTTATACCCAGCGCAGCCCCCAACACCCTGGCTTTCTCTATGGTAGCCCCACCCCAGGAGATCGTGGACGCCAGGTCATTGAGGTACCAGCAGGGACCCCAGGGGGCTGTGTGACATGTGGGTGCTTGTTCATGTTCATTTACATTATTTACATGCCTCTAATTTGGTAATAGCTCAGTCCTTCCCCACCAGGCCCCAGCTGCACCACTTTTCTCCCCTAACCCCAGCTCTAGGCCCTCTTCCTGCCCCCTGCAGGTCATAGCCTACAACCGGGACAGCTTCGACACCACCCGGCAGAGGCTGGTGCTGTTGATTGGGGACCCAGAAGGTACTTCCTACTCTGCCCCACCCCCACCCCACCAACACCAGTCTTGGGGGATCTCCCCTGGAAGGAGGTGTGTGGAAGGAAAGACTTGGGAGTAGTGGGGAGCAGGGCATCCTGAAATGCCTCTGGAGTTTTATCCTTGGCTGCTCTGCTGGCAGTCTGAGGGTGTTGGGGAAGGGCGTTTGGGGCCTGTGATATATGGGTTAAGGAGGAAGGAAGGAGTCTGAGGAGATACAGGGAGGAGCCTGGGTTGGGGGAGGCTTGGAAAGGACCTCTGCAGGGCTGAGTGCAGCCTGAGGTGCCAACCTGGTCCTTCCAGGCCCCCTGCTGCCATACCAGGCTGAGTTCCTGGTGCGCAGCCATGACGTGGAGGAGGTGCTGCCCTCGACGCCTGCCAGCCGCTTCCTCACAGCCTTGGGGGGCCTCTGGGAGCCAGTAGAGCTCCAGCTGCTCAACATCACCTCCGCCTTGGACCGTGGGGGACGGGTACCCCTTCCCATTGAGGGCCGCAAGGAAGGGTAGGCATGCACCCCCTGAGGGCTTCCTGGAGGAGGAGGCAGTTTGCCTTCTGTCTGGGTGGTAGACGCAGAACATAGGTCTCCCTAATTTCTGGTTGGGGCTTTACCTACCTTTGTGCCCCCTCACCACCGTTCTACATAGTTTCCCCATAAACATCTTTGCCACAAGCATTTTTGCTGCAAACATTTTTTTCCTGCATAACTAATTGCCCATGAGGCAATTTTGCCATAAAAGATAAAAGAACAAAAAAATAACAGAGGGACATTAAAAGGGACATAATGAAACAAAAAATTAATAACAAAATAAAAGACTTTACTGCCAAAAATGAAAATACATTGTTTTTGGAGTTTTCGTCCATAGTATTATTATTATTATTATTATTATTATTATTATTATTATTATTATTATTATTTTGCTTGCTGATTAGTCTCTTTCAGCATCACATTATTTTTCTGTTCCACTAAAATTTCTTCCTTAATTAAGAGAGGTATCAGTTTCTGCCAAAGAATCAATGACTAATGTGCTTGAAGGCTTGTGAGTTGGTGGCCACCTCTTTTGTATTTGCATACCTTGGTACACTTTTGGTTTTGACAGGTGGGGAGGATGACTGTACTCACCAAAAGATTTGCAAAATGAAACGTGATCATTTTCTAGTAGGGCATGAAATCTGGCTTTGCACATACCTTTGCAGCCTGGCTCTACAGGTAGCTGTTACCATCCGCTATTTTCAAACCACCATGTCTCCTTAGCACTGTATAGACCATTATGAGGGTTAAGGGTCATATAAAAATGGGAGTTCTGGGAGAACTTTGTCAATGGAGAAATGAAACCAAACTGACAAAATACGTTGTCTGCTAGAGTCAACCAAACAGTCAAGCAGTCAAATTGCCTTACGGTCCATTAGTTATGCAGAGAACATGCATGTGGCAAAGACGTTTACTAGGAGACTTTGGACACCCCTCACCAGGCCCATCTGCACCTCCCAGCTTTACTCCACCGTCCACTTCCCTCTGGTCACCCCCTCATCTCTCCCTTGCCCTTCCTGCACCCAAACCCTTGTTACCCTGAACTCCAGCTTCCTATGCCCACAAGGACATACAAGGTCCATCCTTTAAAGGACATCCATGGAGGGATAAGGCCCCCAGAAGACCTGGTTGTTCTGTGTACTATCACCATAACCCCAGACTTCAGGGTGGCCCTGTAACCCCCAAATCTCCAGTGCTCAGTGACCCTCCCAATTTGCTGACAGTGGCTTCTATCTGGGCCCAGGGTATACATCAAGGTGGGCTCTGCCTCACCCTTCTCCACCTGCCTGAAGATGGTGGCATCTCCCGACAGCCATGCTCGCTGTGCCCAGGGCCAGCCTCCACTTCTATCCTGCTATGACACCTTGGCACCTCACTTCCGAGTTGACTGGTGCAATGTGTCCCTGGTGAGGAGGCACCCTGGCTCCGGGGTGGGGATGGGGCATGGCCCCCATCACAGTTGGCTCCCTCCTCCCTTCCCATCCCAGTCTCTGTGTTCTGTATCTTTCTCTGGTTATCCTGGCCCCCCCTCCCTGCCCCCCAAAGTTCCACCTTCTAACACAAGAGGGCGGCAGAGTCCATAACCCAGAGATCTCTGGTTCCTAAAGTCCCAGAATAATCACTCTCACAATGAGGGAAACTCTTTCCCCAGGGAGGGCCTCTGTGTGACAGCTCTGCCAGCTTCCTTCTAAGGTGTCACGGAGTAAATCTGCCTGTGGCAAGGAACAGATAGTTCCCACCCACCACTGTTCTTTGGTGGTTGAGTAGAGGTATCTAAGGTCCCTAGCGTGCTCTGTTCTTGTGACTAGACCAACAGCGCAGCCAGAGGTACTCAGCAACATTTGGGAGCACTTGCTATGCGCTGGGCACCATACATTCAACCTTTCTTATTCTTACAGCCACCCCAGGAGACAGGTGCCACTATTAGCATTCCAACTTTACAGGTTGGGAAACAGAGGCACCTAGAAGTAAATCATCGCCGCCAAGCACTTGTCTGAGTCAGGATTCAAACACAGGCAGTTGGACCCTAGAGCTGTGCTCTAACCATTCTATGGTCCTGCCTCTCTGAGAATTACTCTCCTGGCTCCTAGTCTAGTGCTTGTCCTGCTGGGTCGCTGGAGCTGGGGAAGGCAGATAGGAGGAAACCCTGTGGTTTCATGGGGCAGTAGGTAGTGGTGCCCTGGAATCCCTGCCCTGTTCCCCCTGGGGAGAGGTCTCTGTGTCCAGCCAGCTGCTCCTGGGTCAGCCCTGGGCTCTCTGAGCAGGTGGATAAGTCCGTGCCAGAGCCCGCAGACGAGGTGCCCACTCCAGGCGATGGGATCCTGGAGCGTGATCCCTTCTTCTGCCCACCCACTGAGGCTACAGCCCGAGACTTCCTGACCGATGCACTGGTCACCCTCTTGGTGCCTCTGCTGGTGGCCCTGCTGCTCACCCTGCTGCTGGCCTACGTCATGTGCTGCCGGCGGGAAGGACGGTGAGTCTGGGGGTAGGGAGGGCACTGTGGTTGGTGCTCAATCGTGGGACTCCCTGTGGCACCTGTACTGCGTGGGGACCCAGACCCCCTCAGGGAGTGGGGTACTCAGCCAGGAGAGGAGAGGGGGCCCCTTTCTGGGCTTCAGAGCCTGGGAGGGGGGTANCTGGCCTACGTCATGTGCTGCCGGCGGGAAGGACGGTGAGTCTGGAGGTAGGGAGGGCACTGTGGTTGGTGCTCAATCGTGGGACTCCCTGTGGCACCTGTACTGCGTGGGGACCCAGACCCCCTCAGGGAGTGGGGTACTCAGCCAGGAGAGGAGAGGGGGCCCCTTTCTGGGTGACTCAGAGCCTGGGAGGGGGGTGNTACTCTCCTGGCTCCTAGTCTAGTGCTTGTCCTGCTGGGTCGCTGGAGCTGGGGAAGGCAGATAGGAGGAAACCCTGTGGTTTCATGGGGCAGTAGGTAGTGGTGCCCTGGAATCCCTGCCCTGTTCCCCCTGGGGAGAGGTCTCTGTGTCCAGCCAGCTGCTCCTGGGTCAGCCCTGGGCTCTCTGAGCAGGTGGATAAGTCCGTGCCAGAGCCCGCAGACGAGGTGCCCACTCCAGGCGATGGGATCCTGGAGCGTGATCCCTTCTTCTGCCCACCCACTGAGGCTACAGCCCGAGACTTCCTGACCGATGCACTGGTCACCCTCTTGGTGCCTCTGCTGGTGGCCCTGCTGCTCACCCTGCTGCTGGCCTACGTCATGTGCTGCCGGCGGGAAGGACGGTGAGTCTGGGGGTAGGGAGGGCACTGTGGTTGGTGCTCAATCGTGGGACTCCCTGTGGCACCTGTACTGCGTGGGGACCCAGACCCCCTCAGGGAGTGGGGTACTCAGCCAGGAGAGGAGAGGGGGCCCCTTTCTGGGCTTCAGAGCCTGGGAGGGGGGTATGGATAACAGTGAATCCCTTCCCCTGCTTTTCCACAGGCTGAAGAGAGACCTGGCCACCTCTGAGTGAGTAAGGGAAAGCTGGGGGCTGGGTGGGAGCCCCTTACCCTGGCAAGCTGGACCATCCCACCTGCATGAGCAGCATAAATAAACCAGATTATGCTGAGATGATGAGGCCACCCTTGGCCTCTGAAGCCCAGCCTTGGGCGGGTTGGATGCTGGGCCTGACCTATCCTGGCCTGGCTTTCTGATTTTTCGGGTCTCCATGGAAGAGTCTGATGTGGGCTGGGACAGGGGAGGGGACTTGGCCAGGCTTGGGAGATCTGCTGCCACCCTGGGGGAACAGGTTGGAGAAGCAGCTCTAGAGACCTTCAACACACTCGCACCCACACGCACTTCCCTGGGAGTCAGGCACTTGGGCTCCAGGCTGGGTGCTGTCACACAACTACTGTGACCCCTTCTGGCCTTGGTTGCTATGGTGAGGTTGGACTAGCTGCTGCTTGTGAATGCTTTCGATTCCCCCAGCCCTTCCCCAATCCATCTCACCCTTACTCGGCCCAGGTTTCCCCCACCCATGGCCTTACCCCTCCCCATGCCCCAGCCCCCTCCCACTCGCTTGAATCCCAAAGATTCCAGGAGGCAGGTGTTAAATAAGGCTCCTTTTATTCCCATGCTCTGAGCCTCTGGCGGGCCTGGCCCCTCTGCTTGCTTCCTGGGCCAGCCTCGTTAATTGCGGGGGCACTTGGCCACCCTGCGAGCTCCCTTGATTAGCTGCTTGTGTCCCTGTTTGGAGCTCAGTAGAAACCTGCGCTGCCCAGGCCGCTGCTGTCTAGACCGGTGCTGCCCAAGCTGTCGGCGCTGCTTCTGCTGCCCCTGTCTCTTGGTCTCAAACTTGAAATTGGAGGCTTGCTTCTTGCTCATGCGGAAGGCGTCCAAGGTCCCCTTGCTGGCCACCTGCCTGAGCATGCCCTTGTCCACCAGCCCCTTGAGCACTTTCTCGAAACGCCAGTTGTTGCGGGTCATGTTGTAGCCTGTGGTGGTGAGAGCCTTCTTCAGGGTGGCCAGGGACACACGATTGCGTGTCCCCTTGTCCGCCATGACCTCCAGGATCACCTTGGATATGCTGGGCTTCTTGTAGGCAGTGGGGCAGGCGAGGCGCCCAGTCTCGCTCCTGCTGGGGACTCCCGACACACTGGCCTGCGGGCCTGCACCCGTGGCGGTGTTGGAGGCCGAGGCCGAAGATGCGGGTGGCATCGAAGTGTCTTTCTGCATCTCTTCCTGGGGTGGGTTAAGGGAACTGGGTGCGAGGACCTCCAGGATGGCAGCTGGAAATCTCCACTGGGTCGCTCCTTGGTGGGTGAGGTACGTCTTAGTTTCTGTTTCTCTCAGAGGCTCCCTCCTAGGGCTCTGGCCCAAGCCTTCCGCTGGGTGGCCAGGAGGACCAAGGATGATCACCCACGGCTGGTCTCAGCAGACTTGTGCCTCTGGTGCAGGGGGTGGCAAGGTTATCTCTGTGGTGACCTCATAGGGGCATTGTGAGGCCACCAGAATCCTGTGAGGGTCACAGTGGCCCGGCTGTTCCCTCTTGGGAGGGGCAGACAGGAGGTGCCAGACAGTGTGGGCTGGGAGGAAGGGCTGTGGACATGTATATGTGTGAGCGCCCTCGACTTCAGGGTGTTCTGAGACCCCAGTTTTAAATCCACCAGTTTGACCCCACTGTCTCGACCCACTGGGTTGAGAAATACAAACATTTTAGAATCAGAATTATACCAGTATTTAGGGATTTTTATGGGGAATAAATTTCCAGAGTGGGTAGAAGGATTCCCTGATCTACCTACATTGATTCAATTCCTTGATCAACTTGCTATACAAAGCAATGAAGACCCTGGGTTTTTTTTCTTTCTATTTTCCTTTTATTTGATAGATTTCCCCCCCCATGGAGATCAGTGATTTTCTCCATCAGTCTCACAAGGGAGATGTTATTCCTCAATTTCTTTTGGCCTGAGCCAAGTTTCATCCATGTGTCTTCTGCCATCGTGATCGTGGATATTCTCTTCTGACCAGTTATTTCCACCACGTCCTGCCTTCCATGGTCAGTTTTGTAGCTCTGATGGTGTCAGGACTATCTGCTTCCCCCACCAGTTTTGAATCAATAACTGATTTTACCATTTGCAATATTAGCCCTTGTGGGTTTGGATTTTCTGTTGATTTATTTCTACAAAATCCTTTTTCCCCCCTCTTGTTCAGTGACTACCGCTTTTCAAATTATCCACAAATTGTGACTGTGCTGCCTGCTTTCACCTATGTCAGATTCACTGGGTGGAAAGTCCTGCAGTCTTGGTGACTGTCCCCCGTGGTCCATGTGCCAGAGCAGGGCTCCAGGGGCTGTGTGCTTGGTGGTGGAGTGTGTGCCTGTGTGTGTGCGTGTGCGAGTGTGTGTGTGTAGGAAGCCTGCCTGTTTGTTTCTCCATCTGCCCAAGTGCTGATGTGGAAGGACTGTGGGGAAAAGCACCTCGGCTCTGGCTTCTGCTCCTGCTCTGGAAAAACATCCCCAGAACATTTTTCCACCTGTGTGTGTTGCCAGAGTAATGAGGCCCAGATGTGGCGCTGGGAGTGGGGAGGGGGCCCATTAACTAAGGCCCTTCCCCCTAAGGGGCATTACCTGCCTGGCTGCCTCCAGCCCTCAGCAGCCACACACTTCTTGCTTTCTTGCTCCCTTTCTCCCTCAGCCTCCCCTTTCCTGGGAACGGAAAATTGTGTTTTGGACAACTCTGCTTGCCAAATTCCAGACTCAAGAGCTCATTTTGGCCCTCCCCTAGCCTTAGAGGGTGACTCCACCTCCTCCCGGAGACCAGACAACACTGTGTCCTACTCCCC